TGGCTCCTAAAAGTTAAAAAGTCGCAGCAAATAGCGGATCTTGTATCCCCGGTCATTTTTTTTTTTCGTTTTTTTGTGCTAAATCGGTATTTTCAGGCAATCTTCTGGTGACTGTTTAGTGCTTGTTCGCTGATGGTTGCTGCTGATCCTGTGTTGCCGGATGATGGCGCCCCGGAGGAGCCATCATTCTCGGATAGCGAATACAATTATGTTGAAACAGCCACTGATGAGGGTACTTTTTTTTCAACACTTTTCGCCATTTGTTGTTGTTTCACTTGTTTTTTTCAGTTACTTTCTAGCATGATGTTGTTGAGATAGTGCGAGTGAAAATTTCCCTTCCTTAGCAGATAGTACAGTCCATGATGCTGAAATGTTCTTTCAGAATGAATTTTTAATAAACATTGCAGAACTGGTTGGCGATATCTTACGGCGAAAGCCATCAATAAGCGAATATGACCGCTGCTGTGTGATAGTCTGCGGTATCCCCGTGGTTCAGGAAGAGCGGTTACCGAAGCTCAAAATGGTGGTCGGCAAGATTTTTGCCCGAATTCACACCAATTTCAATGAATTTTATCCAATCGATGAAAATGGGCTGACAAAGGTATTTCAAGGAATATGCGAAATTATAGATACCGATTAAACAGAAATATTAAGGATGTAGAGAAAAATCCGCGAAAAGCCGGCCAAGAAGTCGCTGCAAAGAAAAAAAGAAAAGAGAGATGTATTACGTCTTGGAAGGCAGAGATACAGTAGATGTGCTGCCAGGCTGAACATAGAGCACAGGGATTAGTGGTGTAGTGGTAACATATTGCATCAGGGCGTAAGTAGGTGTGGTTCGATTCCCTGCCGGGCCACGACAATTTTTGAGAAAGGACTTCGTTCACGGCAAAAGAGGCAAATTTGTAAGGGAACTTTTGAGGGACGAATTTACATACATCGAATGGGTAATGCAAATTAGCTGGAGCTGTGCAGAGTATAGGTCGAAAGGCCTGGCATAGCTACATCCGGTGTATGGAGGCATTTCAATAACATCACTAATATGGGATATCCGTATTGATTTTTCTGGCGGTCTTGGTTATATTAGTGATTTTCTTGAAAGCACTTTATAAACTTTCATGTTGTTTACTGTAGGATCTT